CCGGACACCACCGCTGTGTGGCCCCTCCATGCTAGAGGAACTCAGGGTGTAGGGTGGTTGACTTTGAAAAATAGCGGTTTCAAAGTTTACTTCTAGGAGGTTAAAAGACTCTGTACCAGAAGCCCATTCTGCCAAGCGGCCAAGTGTGGATGATTTAGTGGGTCCCCTGCTCCACCTCTTGGCAGACCCCAGGGCACCCTGAAGGATTTCTAGGGCACCCTGAATGGTTGCAAGGCCTGGGGAGGGGGATAACTCAGACACACATAGGAAAACTCCTGCCGTGCCATCCTTGACTTTGTCCACATCCTCCTGGAGTCCGCGTGGTGTGCTCTGCAGACCTGGCCTTACCCAGGTGCCTGGTGCTCCAACCACATGGTCAGCAGGCCTCTGCGGACATCGGCAGCAGAGCAGTGTGCACCGACCCTGTCACCACCAGGCAGGTGCTCATGCTGTGGCCCCAGTCAGACGAGGGAGCTGACCGGCACTGTCCAGCAGGATGGCCGCGAGCCACGAATGGCTGCTTCCATTTAAGTTCATTAAAATTAAATAAGGTTTTAAAAAACCTCGGGCTGCTGGGTWCAGTGGCAGGGCACTCGCCTAATAGGCCCGAGGCCCTGGGTTTATCCAGCTCGTGCCAAAGCAGCGGTGAACAGCAATTCAGTCCCTCGGCCGCACAGTTCACGTCACAAGTCCTCGGTGGCTTCAGAGCCGGTGGCCACCCTGCTGGATGTCACATGTAGAACGTGACCGTCTGGGACAGAGGTCCAGCCCTGCAAGGCCACAGCCAGTGAAGAATAGAATCAAGGGAAGAAGCTCTTGTGCTGGTTTTATTCCTCGTTCTATTTCTAAGCAYGCTCCAGGATGTTCTTTCTGTTCATCTGTCTAACAAGCATTGTTGAGGACCACCRTAGGAGTCGCCCGCACTAGGGATATTTTGTTGTACAGAATGATCAATCCCCGCCTCAGAGGAATAGTCTTCCAGTGGAGGAAGACTAGCAAAAAATGTGCTGGGCACCGTGGTGCATGCCTGTAATCCCAGTGACTTGAGAGGCTGATGCAGGAGGATCTCAGGTTTGAGGTCAGCCTCAGCAGCTTAGGCCCTAAGCAATCAGTGACCGCCTGTCTCATATTGTAGCTCAGTGGCAAAGCCTCCCTGTGTTCAATGCCCAGTACCACCCCCCACCAAAATACACACACACACACATACACACAACCTAAAAACGTGAACTTACCATCCTTGAGGAAGTGATGAGTGAGTATCATGGAAAATAAATTCTCAAATAATAAAACGGGGTAAGAGAAATTACAAGTGCCCAGGAAACAGTAGGTTGCCTACAATTTTAAACAGGGTCTGGGTGACATCTAGGAAGGTGGCATCTGAGCAAAGACTTGCAGCCAGTGATGGTGTCAGCTGTGTGGACGTCTGGGGAGAGGGAGGAGCTGGAGCCACAGTTTGGAGGACACAGTGTGCCGGGTGCGWTTGAGGGAGAGCCAGGAGGCCACTGGGCTTGGCTGGAGTCGGGTGATGGGACGTCCCCCTGTGGGAAAGGTGGTGGTCCTGTGGCTTGGTAAGGGCTCTGTCTTTGCCTGGGAGATGGGAAGCCGCGAGGGTTTCCAGGGAACAAGGGGCSCAGGCCGCCTTGCTTTCTAATGGCGTTTTCTGGCCGCAGTGGGGGTAAGAGGTGGTGCTGGTGAGGGGGGAGGAGGCGGTTTGGGTGCCACCGTCGTGATCCAGGAACAAGATGGCATTGGGACCAGTGGCAGTTGGGGCGATGAGAAAGGAGGCCAGATTCTGGATCTGTGTATTTGAAAGAGCCCATYGAGTTGCTGATCCATGGAATGTGGGGAGTGAGAGAGGGATAAAGGACCACCCYGAGATTGTTGGCTTGTGCGACTGTGGGGACGGAGGGCCACCAGCTCCAGGCAGAGCCGACTCGATGTGTGGAGCAGGGCGGGGAGGACTCAGAAGTTCAAGTTTTGCTAGTTTGATAAGCCCAGAAGCCATCAAGTGGAAATGTCACTGGGCAAATGAATACGTGAATCTGGAATTCTGGGGTMAGGACTGTGCTGGGGAGATTAGTGCTGGGTGCAGCCATCAGCATGGACATGGCACTTGAAGCCTGGAGAGTAGATGAYGTTGCCAGAGGATGAGGACAGAGGAGCCCCTGCATTGAGCCCTGGGGTACTTCCACCTCAGAGGTCGGGGTTAGAAGGAGGAACCAGCCAAAGACACGAGGGTGCAGGAGCGTCCAGCCCCGGAGGGTAGGGAAGGAGTTTCCTTCTGCCCTCTGTTCTTCCTTCCGTCACCTTCTCTGTCCCGAAGCCAGAAACACGGCTGATGGGGAGCTGTGCCTCCTCACCTGCYGCTTCCCACCGCACACCTGGCGGTCACGGGGCTCAGCAGGTGGATGAGGCCCTGCCTGCTGACCTCTGGGCTCCCTTGTCTCGAGAGTCTCGTCCATGAGGGAGAGTGGGGACAGCTAGCTGTTAGGGGCTCACTTGTAGTAGGTTAAAGTCTTCACCCTAATGCCAGTGAACATCCTAAATCCCAAATCAGAAAGAGTCCAAAATCTGACACTTTCAGGTGCTGGTGTGATGGCCCAAGAGACACGTGATTTGTCACCTGACCTCCTGTGAAGTCGGTCCAAAGGGGCCACACGGAAAGTGTCGCAAGAAATCTCCTTCAGGCTATGTGCCAAGGTGGATGGAAACACAAGTCAATTTCAGGTGTAGATCTGGGTCCAGCCCCAAGACACGTCCTCGTGGGTCTACAAATACCACAGAACCTGAAAAACTCCGAATTGAAAACACTTTAGGTCCTGAGTGTTTCAGATCAGGGTAGAAAACCTGTAGAGTGCGGCCTGCTTTGGAGATCTGGCCTGTAAAGAGGTAACTGAATCAATACGAGGTCCCCAGGGTGGGCCACAGCCTAAAATGACTGCTGCCCTCATCGCAAGAGGAGATTGGGACGGTTCACAGGGAGGACTGTGTGAAGACAGGGGAGAAGACCCCCTGCCCACCGAGGAGAGGGACCTTGGGAGAAGCCCATCCTGCCGACCCCTTGACTCGGGTTTCCCGCCCACCGAGTCGCAGGAAATCCGTGTCTGTCTCTGAGGCCCCYGGTCTGCGGTGGTCACCGCAGCCCCAGGCCACCGAGACGCAGTGGAGAGGCGTCTGTGGCCTTGTCCTCCCCCTCCTGGTCCATACAAGAGTAGCCTCCATGAGAATCGACGGCCTGTGGAAAAGAGAAGTCGAGCCCTGGCTCCGCTTTCCACAGCGGCCCTCGCCGCTCACGGGCGGGAGGATCTCTTTCAAGCCCAGGCTGGGGCCTCCCGAGCTGCTTCTCTTAGAAGGCCAAGCCCCAGTCCCCGGAAGACCACAGAGAAAGGGCTGTCCCGCCCCTGCAGTGTGAGTAAAGTCTGGGGGAGCGAGGGATGCCAGAGGCAGAGCCTGGATTCTGGGGAGCTCCCACCGTTTGGGGCTCCCGAGAGCAGAGGGGACTGGCGCAGCTTCCCGGGGGAGCTTGGGGTCTGGGTGGCAAAGCTCCAGGAGCAGTGGCCCAGCACCAGCAGAAGAGCAGAGGCGGACCTGCATCCCTATGCCCAGGGCAACTCCTCAAATGTCCCCGTGTGCCAGCGGGACACACAGCAGGCCAGGAAAAGCCATAGACCTAGACAGGCCTGGCCGTCTTGATGGGTCGCCATGTCAGCAGCAAGGGCCGGAACCCACACAGATGGTTCAGCCAGGTGTGGGCAGCTCTGCCCGCGTCCTCACCACTCGGTGCCCTCAGCACGGAGCCACCTCGGGGGAGTGGGAGAGGAAACCCTGAAATAAGTGACAACATGCTGAAGCGACACAGTGACAACTGTGGAAAGTAAGTTCAGTCACTAAAAAGTAATTCCAGGGCTGTGGTGGCGTCTTGGTGGCAGAGCGGTTGCCTCGCACATGTGAGGCACTGGGTTCAATCCTCAGCACCACACAAAGATACAAATAAGCAAAATAAAGATATTGTAACCATCTATAACTTAAAAAAATAAAAATAATAAAAAGTAATTCCATAGGGAATGGGGAGTTTTGTTTTTGTTTTTTTTTTTGAATTTTTTAATATTTATTTTTTAGTTCTCCGCAGACACAACATCTTTGTTGGTATGTGGTGCTGAGGATCGAACCCGGGCCGCACGCATGCCAGGCGAGCGCACTACCGCTTAAGCCACATCCCCAGCCCCAAATGGGGAGTTTTTTGGTTCCACTTTTGTGGCACTGGGGGCTGAACCTAGGGCCTTGCCCATGCCAGGCAAGCGCTCTTCCACTGAGCCCCTCTCCAGCCCTGGGAGTTAGCCACATTTGACAGCATCTCACCGAGTTGCTGAGCACCTCGCCTCTCCATGGCTGCCAGCTTTGAACTCACGATTCTCCTGTTTCAGCCTCCTGAGCCACTAGGATTACAGGCATGGGCCACCGTGCCTGGCTGGGAGTTATTACTCAACAGGTATGAGTTTCAGCTTTACAAGGTGAAAGAGTTCTGAACATAGATGGGGCGATGGTTGAACAACTCGTCGTATGTACTTAATACCACTGAACCACGCACTCAAACGGTCAAGATGGGAAGCGTTGTTATGTGCATTTTATCAAAATTATAAGAATTGGAGAAAAATACTATGAGGACTGAGGTTGTGGCTTATACAATTGATACCTAGGACAACAGATAAGAACCAAAGGGGACCTAGGGTCCAGAGAGGCTGAGTTGATGGAGAAATGGAATATGCTTTAGGAAGGGCCAGGAACACCAAGAGATGGAGGCATGGATTCCACTGTGTGCCTGGTGCCATCTGGGCGCAGCCTTGAAACCAAGCACAAGCCTCCTGCTTACATGCACACACGTGCACACACACACACACACACACCCAGCACTTCGCAATCACACCTCCCAGCCCAAAGGAATTATCTGCTTGTTGGAATCTGCATGCTTCTCTTAGGCAAAGATTCTCACAAAGTTCATGGTCATATATGATCATTTTATTTTCCAAGGCAAGGGTTATAGAATACGCAACTGAATTCTTCCTGAAGCATTAGAAGCCAGTGGTAGTAAACACTTCTTACGTAAGTTCAGTGCAGGCCACGGGGCTATTTCTCTTCTTTTAGAAGTGCTGCTGTTATCATGGCTTAGGAAGCCGTGCAACTTTCGAGAGTAATGGTTTTATGAAGAAACCACCAGGCCTTTGAGCTCTTGCCCCAAATCTACAGAAACCTTGAACTATCTTGGACAAGCATCCCTTTAAAAGCCGACAGAAGAAAAGAATACCTATCCTACTACACAGTTGTCTCAGCCCTCAGATGGCTACCCTGCCTGCCGTGGTGGTTCACGCGGTCTCCTGCATCGAGGGAGCAGGAGAAGTGCTGGCTCTGCATGGACGGCGGTCCCAGCAGCCCACCCCCCTCTGGAGCCCTGAGCATTCTCTCCTCCTGCCTTTGCTGGCAGGGCTGGGGGCTCCTCACATCCTGGAGAGCTTGATGTCATAGGTCACCATGTTGAAGTTGTCCCAGGCAAAGAGCTTCCTCTCCAGGGGGTTGTAGTCGATCATGCTGCTGTACTTGTAGCGGTTCTTGAATGGGATGGTCAGGGTCTTACTGACCCCTGTGCCCGTGTCATAAGCAAAGTTGACAGTGGCTTCGGCCGAGGAGTAGCTGCTGACCGTGTACAAGGTGCCGCAGATGACGAAGGCGTTGGCGACTGACTGCTTACGGATGTTGGTCTCCCAGGTCTGTTCCAGCTCCAGGCTCTCCGGGTTCAGTTTGGAGAGGACGATGGCTCCTTTGGCCTCCTCAGTGCTGTAGATGACCCACAGGCCCGTCTCATCCACAGCCAAGTCAATGTCTGTGTAGCCGCCCCACGAGTACGGGAACTGTCCGTGGTAGCCGGCCCCCGGGATGTCCTTCTCCGCCTTCACTGCCTCCGTGTTCAGCTCGTACCTGATCACGGTTCTGGATTCGGCGCCCTGGAAATAGAGGCTCCCCCCATACACCACTGCACCGGTGCTCTCCAGCGCCCGGGGCAGCACGTGCACCTTGGAGGGGTAGCCCTGCACGAACTGGCTGATGAGGCTGTACTCAAAGACCTGGTGGATGTCTGTGCCCACCGTGTCGATCCTCCACGTGGTCTCCCGCGTGTAGGGGAAGGCGGGCCTGGGGTCTCTCATCCACACGCCGTACTTGCCGGTGATTGTTTCTGCGGTCCTCAGGGTGACAGGCTCTCCTACCCAAACCAGTTCTCCACAGCCTGATGGATTAAAAAAAATAATTTAAAAAAAGGCACCTCGTATCCATCAGCTCTCCAGATACATTCAGTGACAGAGTGGAAGCAGCAGAGCAGGCAGAAGTAGGGGCCCCAGGACCAGCTGTCTGGGCTTAAATCTGGGTTTGGCTGCAAATAGACCTGACTTTCAATAAGCTCCTCAGCTCTGCACGCCTCGGCCTTCCCAGGCAACGGGGGACAGCAGGGCTGTTTCAAGTCTGAGAAGTGATTAGACAGGTTAGGGGTAGGTACAGAGAACATGCACAGCAGATGTGCGGTGGGTCTGTGGTGGGAAGGGATTCCTGCTCCTCCCAGTCGTCAAGGGCGAGGCCTTAGACGGCTTCAACCACAACGGCAACACTCGAGCTTGGCAGGGACCCGAGGGTTCGTTAGATCACTTCCCATGACTTTCAAGTTTGATGTGTTATTTTAAAAGAGTGAAAATAGATTCCTTATAAGAATGACTTCTAGTTAGGCCTCATGGTGGACACCTGTGATTCCAGCTCTTCAGGAGGCCCAGGAAGGTCAGCCTTGGCCACTTGGTGAGACCTTGTCTCGATCAAAAATCAAGAGGGCTGGGGGTGACAAATAAATAAATTAAAATGAATAAATAAAAGAAGGCTGGAAGCGGAGCACATTCCCCACCTTATTAAGGCTCTTAGCGATTAGATATCTGAATATTAAAAAAAAAATTTTCTGTGGACTTAGAGGTCTTCCTTGTCATATGCGAGTATCTTAGAAGAAGAAACCTCAAACCTAGTTCAATCCCCAGCACTAAAAAAAAAAAAAAAAAAAAGGTTGAAAATTTAGATTTAGCAGAATCAAGAGAGATTTCTGTGCTTTAGCGGGCACCTTCAATGTCGACACAGAAGGTGRGTACCGTTTACTGAATCATGCTTTGAATATTTCATTACCCCATCCCCATGGGTGCCCTTCAGTGCTCACAGTAATTGTAAGTAACACAGGCAGAGCTTCTAAAAATCATTCCTTCGGGGAACACTTTGGAGAGGGGCAATTGTGCTTTTCCTAGGTGGCCGAAGTTCAGCAGAAATACCTTTACTAACAGACAGTGCTAGATGGGACAGGGCAGCTACCTGGCCCTCAGGTTAAGGGTGTGAAGGAGCTACTGAGGCTTGTGACTTCCCAGGTGCAATGCAGTGACCAAGTGGGCTAATAGGCCTTGCTCATCTTCTCCCGGTGCAGCCCAGCTGCCTTCCAGGGTGGGTGGCAGGAGACAGACTCTCCTGGGAAAGGCTGCCTCCCTGAGGACCTGCCCTGGCAAAAGGAAAGAGTGGTTCTTGTCCTCAGTCCCTCCCTGTCTCTGCTCCCAGGGAGGTCACTCCTGATGGCATTTACTCTCCAAATCTGAACACAGAACTAGACACGACAGAGGCAACGTGGGCTCAGCAGGGAAGACACCCACTTCATACCGTCATCGTCACTCCTGGGAGGGCCAGAGGGACTCTCCAAGATCTGGGAAGCCGGAACCTTGGTCAACTCCGACTTGAGTTCCTGGAAGGCCAGGGTGTCCAGATTCCACTGAGAAGCTGTATGAAGAGAGAGAGTCGGGCTGTGCCATGAGAAGACACGGGCCAGGGATCGACTGTGGAGGAGAGCATTTCGTTAGGCTCCCCAGACTCCTCGTTGGAGATCTGCTTTAAGACGATGCCGGGGTGTGGTGGGGATCAGGCCGGGGAAGACTGTGGGGCTCAGAGCTGCCCTGGGCTCATGCTTTTCTCCCCACTGTTTAAAAAATCCCACAATTAAAAAGCTTACCTAATTACATAGCAGTTAAATCACTTAGCAAACTGCCCAGCACAGAGTTGGATATTCAGAATAAAATAAGACTTTGCACTTTTGAAATACTTTCCACCAGAAGGGCAGGCTTGTGAGTATATGAGGTGTGATTTCAGGAATATTAAGGCTCTAAGCAATTAGATATCTGAATATCAAACATGCTTTTGTTCTGTGACTTAGGTTTTCCTTGTCATCTACAAGCATCTTACAAGAAACCTCCAGATTTTTTCTTTCTTCTATTTTTTTTGGGGGGGTATGATGTGTGTTACTGGGGACTGAACCCAGGGGAGCCTTATCCCTACCTCCCTATCCCTTTTTTTTTCTTTTAAAACGGATTCTTGCTAAGCTGCTGAGGCTGGCCTTGAACTTGTGCTCTGCCTACCCTGATTACAGGCATGTGCCACCACAACCAGCTTATCATTTTATTTTTAAAATACTTTTTAATTTTTAATTGACACATGTATCACTGGGGTCCAGAGTGACATTTCAGTAGATCAGCTCATGGTAATTGGCACTTCTACCTCTTAGACATGTCTTATTCCTTTGTGTTGGGAACATTCAAAATCCTCTCTAGTGATCTTGAAATATGCAGTTGTTAGTAACATGTCAAGCTTCACACGCTCAGTTGAAATGTCTGTCTCTTTCTGAGGCCACACTGCATAAGGACGAGTGTGTGCAAGGTTCCTGTGAGAACTAGGGGAGGGTGTGAGAAGGGGAGAACATGGGTGACCCTGGTTAGACATTTGGTCATTGTCACCATGGGTCCTACCTTTGCTTAGGATTCAAAGCAATTCTTGACTCCAAGGATGAAGCAGTGGTCACAGGAGCATTTAAAACAGGTGTGGCTATTTTAAACTGTAGGTTTGATGATGATTCAAGTACAGTAAGGCCAACAGATCCCCAGGCAATTGTGTGCTGGGTTGTGGCCCGTAATCCCAGCTGCTTGGGAGGCTGAGGCCGGAGGAATCTCTCAGTAATAGAACACCCCTGAGTTCAATCCCATTGCCCCCCACCCCACCCCACACAGTAATAATTCAAGGGCTGGGGATGTGGAGTGCTTGCCTAGCCTGGGAGTGGCCCTGAATTCCATCCCCAGGACTGGGGGAGGGGAGAGAGTGTGAGGCAAACCATGGAAGCAGTAAAAAGATCGTGGTTTCCAGGGCAGCGTGCAGGCAGGAATAAATAGACATTGCACGCCGGCTTCTGGGGAAAGGGAACTCCTGGGCATGGTACCCTAATGGTGGATACATTATTTTATGTTTGTCCAAAACCCAAAGCGTAAGCTGTGGTCTTAGTAACTATGACATGTCAGTGTGGGTTTGTCAACTTTATCCCTGAGGGGGGTCCGCAGGAAGAGGGGAAGCTATGCCAGTGGGAAATATCTGTCCCTTCCTCTCAATTTTGCTGTGAACCTAAAATAGCCCCCAAAAGTCATCTTTTAAAAACAAAGATCTTGAAGTCTGTATTGCTGTGGGTCCCAGGAGAGGAGAATGCCAACCTGCAGGGGGAGGGGTGCACATGGGAAGCCTCTCCCACAGGAGGCTGCAGCGGTGGGGGACAGAGTGGTGCTTCAGATTTTCAGGGAAGTGGGACAAGGCTGGGGGATGGCCACCTGCAGCTAATGAGATTCAGTCGTTGCCATCACTCATTAAGTGCTACTGTGAGTCAGTGCATGCTAGGTGCTTGCTGTTCAATTCCTCTATTTCCTGTAACAGTCCTGAAAGCCAGCCAGGCCCAGAGGCTCCCGCCTGTAATCCCAGCCACTCAGGAGGCTGAGGCAGGAGCATGGCACGTCCCAGGCCCGCCTGGCCATTTAGACCTTGTCTCAAAGAGAAAAAGTGTTGAGGGGAGCACAGGGTGTGCAGGGCTGTAGCTCAGAAGTAGAGTGCCCCTGAGCTCAAAACCCATACGGCAAAATAACAAGACCAAACAAAAACAGTTCTGAAAGTGAGCACTGGTATCTCCAAATGCAAATGAGGAAAGCAAGCTTCAAAGGGGTTAAGTAACTCGCCCAGGGTCTCACAGCTAGTCAGTGGGGGAGCTGGAATAAAACCAAAGCTGTGGACGATGTGAGCCCTTGCACCCCGTGGTGGGCGTGGCCAGTTATAGATGTGAGCCTGTCCACCTGTGGTGGGTGTGGCCTGTTGTGGATGTGAGCCCTTGCACCTGTGGTGGGTGTGGCCTGTTGTGGATGTGAGCCCTTGCACCTGTGGTGGGCGTGGCCAGTTGTGGATGTGAGCCCTTGCACCTGTGGTGGGCATGGCCAGTTGTGGAGGCCTGCTTCTCACAGTTGAACACTTGCCCTTTCACACCTGCTGTGGGAGAGCCAAGGTCCCTTGTGTAAAGTGAGTGCATTATCAACCATCTCAGTAGAGGACACTAGAGGGAAGTGGGCTGTGGGGGATTGTCCCTGTGTGCAGAATGCAAGGGAGCCCTGCCCCAGCTGCTCCTCTGTGACCTTGCAGCCTCATCCTGGCCATGGACTTTCCACGGCCCTCCCACATGGAAGCCAGCACTCCGTGGGGACGGCAGAGCTCTGAAGGCCCTGCTGGCCCTGCTCCTCACTTCCTGGACACCCAGGCCCCAGGAGTTGCTTGGCCCACATGTGCCCTGCACTCAGGAAGTGTTTGGCACCCCCGGACCTGCTCAGGCCAACCAGCCCCCTCTCTGCTCTCATGGGCTGAGCATACCTTGACCGATGAGGTCTGGACCCCTCCCAAGTCCAACCTGCCGACCATCCCCTCCCTCCTCTGAGGAGCCACCTGGAGTTTACCTCTGTCTTGCAGTGGCCCTGTCATCACAGTGAGTCTTCACCTGAAT